CTAAAAACTAAAGCTGCTAGATTTGGGTACCGACATAAAGTTGCGGACGCGAAGTGACGCCAATTTCAAATGAAATTTCACCCGAAATGATACCTAACTCGAATCTAACTCGCAATCGCGAATAGTGTTTCTGTTGTGTCTCTATGTTTTTCACCAGGAAAAAAATAATACATATATACATAATTACTATCTAGAATAGCCCTCGACCCCGATTAAGTGCACAGGCTCTGATCGCTTTACAATACCACAGTAACACATAAACAGTACATTTTGTTCTGACTAAAAATCTCTCTGTAGGTTTTAATTTGGTCTTTCACTCTCAGCTCTCTTTTCCTTTCTTCTGTGCATCTTTCTCACAGTACTTTCTTCCTAATTCCCATGTATAGTCTGCAAAACCATAAGCATCTCTTTCTGTTCTCTCCCCCCGCCCCCCTCTCTCTCTCTCTCTCTCTCTCTCTCTCTCTCTCTCTCTCTCTCTCTCTCTCTCTCCATCCATCCATCCGTCTATCAATCTATACCTTATGTGAGTGTCTCACTTTTCCTCCTCCTCTCCCTCTCTTTCTCTCTCCCCCTCTCTCACTCTCTGTATCTCTATGTTTATCTCAGCATCTATCTCTTTACTTTTGTATCTCTCTCTGTCTCTGTCTCTCTGTCTCTCTGTCTCTCTGTCTCTCTGTCTCTATCTATCTATCTATCTATCTATCTATCTATCTATCTATCTATCTATCTATCTGTCTGCCTGTCTGTCTGTCTATGCCTTTGTGCCTGCTTATCAGCCTGCCTATCCGTCCGTTCGTCCGTCCGTCTCTTCCGCTTCTGACAAGTACAGTCAAACCTACTCAAACGGCCACCTTGTCTTTAGGCCATTCCCAAAGGGGGGATATTAACACGTTCTTATGCACATTAGAACTGTGAATGGGCTGAACTATTAATGTCATGCTCGTACTGTGCCGGAACAACATAGGAGGAACTGCTGCTTTTTCTTTCCTCATCAGTACTATTGTCATTTTTCGTCTATTTCTTTTGTATGTTTTTCACTCTCATGTGAACTGCTATTTCCGGGGTGCCTTGATAGTCGATGCTGACTTTGTGCTGTTGAGGCAAGAGAGGTGAGCAGAGTTAATTACGTAAACCTGATCCCCGTTTGGACTTCTCTGTTGACATCTACGGCTTGGCGCTTATGCAGTTGCGAGCGCCGTAAAACCTTACTAAAACTAACGGCAACCTGTTTAAGACAACCACCCAATCACTTGTACAGATCCCCATTTCCTCCCTTGCCTATTTTTTTTTAAGAACGTTAAAATGACACTGTGAAAGACGGTCACCTGTCAAGTACCGCCACTTTTCACCTCAACAATTGGTGGCCGTCCTAGACAGTTTCGAATGTCATGTATCTGCGCGTTTTTTTGTATCATGTGTGAAGATAGCTTGCGGCTTGTGGCTCGTCTCGATTGTCGTTGGCTTGCCGTACAGCTTTCGAGACGGGAACAATAGGCAGTCGAGGCACACCTTTTTGTGTTGATCATCAATTGTTTCCCGATGCTTGCTTCCTC